TCGGTATCTGGCCCACGGGCAACGAACGACGCGCGGTCCCGTGTGAAATATGACAAAAAACTTTCTAATTGGAAAGCTGGATACTGTGACATGGCGCGATGGAACGGGCGATAAGGTAATACATCTTCTTAGAATTTTGAAAGACGCTGATTCTTTTAATTCCTGCTCGATCGAAGCAGCGTCGAGAGGCTTCGGTAACGTTCAGCGGCGATTTTAATGCCTGGCGGGGATAAAAATCTATCGCGTGACTTCTGTGTTCCTCGGTTAGTTCTGTTAATGACAGTGCTTCTAAACAAGCAGGTGGTTCCAAACGACCACTTGAAATTCCATGTTTAAGTACCGTTCAAAACTGGCACCGCTTGTCACGCTTTCACGAATTACAGTAATCGTCGAGGTAGGAAAGAAAACGGGGAACGCGAAGGGTGAACGCAAATGAATCGTTTAACTTGGTGCTAGAATCTTGATAGTCTTAGAATGAATGGTAAATTTCGTGGACCGTGTAAAGGTTTTTTGTTAGAAACGATGCGGTAGATCGAAATCAATTGGATACTCTGAAGAGATACTTAACCATTAAGCATTTATTAGCGACGCGTGAATGTTCGCTGTCGTGAGAGGAAACCTTTCATCAGCGACAGCTGAACGAGATTCCGTGACAGAGAAAGGGTTCGAAGCGTTTCTCGTGGAATTTGATCTGCTTTTGCGAAACAACAGCACGCGAACTCTTGTAAGATACGTTAAGACCTGTCTGTATACTCGCAATTCTCGATGAAAAAAGACGGTTTGAAATTATCCTAACGAAGTCCCATCGAACTTGATCAAGGCTCAGGATCGTGGTAACTGCTAGATCACTTTGCAGGGCTGGTCTAAGAAGACGTCGGTCGGAACCGATTCGCCTGATAGGGACACGAGCGTTATCGATGGAAAAATGTCGACGCCAGGCAAAAAGCGAAACGTAACAGGCCAATTATCGTGTTTACATGAACAGTGCGGCCTGGTAAGCAGCGATTCCAGCCAGTATAAATACCTGTGTAACTTAGTTAAGACGGTGTGTTTGGATCTAAGAAGGGGGCTGCTCCACGATGAAGAAAGAAAGAAGAGAAACCGGCAAGGATACAAGTGGGGGACACAGAACAGAAGATAGTAGTAAGAGGTTGAAACGAAGTTGAGAGAGGAAAGGGTTGAGATGTTGGCGGGAGTAAGAAAAAGAGAGAGAGAGAGAGAGAGAGAGGTTGGTTAAAAAGAGGATGGAGGGAAGAAGGAAGAGAAGAAGGAGGTTGGAGGGTTGGGGAGAGGAAGAGGAACGGGTGAACGGGTGAACGGCCTGCCGCGTCCTTGCGAACCACCTGACCACACCGGCCGTGCCGCCACCACTCGGCCTCTCCAGCATCCTTCCAGCACTTCCAGCCTCTTGGACTTGCCTTCCAACCGGCAAACAGCTCGTCTACCGGGCTCCTACCTGACCGATCTCGCGAGTCCTCTTGCTCCAGGCCGATTCCCTCTGTTTCTCATCGCCGATTGTTCCTGAATCTTCAAACGGCTACTTCCAGTCCACCCGATCGGATGCGCACACGGTCTTTAAACGACCGTACTTCAGCGACCGTAACGTGCTCGTTGCCGATCTCGAGATATCCTAGGACCAATCGTTAACACGTTTGCAAATTTTGTGCGATATCTGAAGGGTTAATCAACTCTTCGCCCACTGCTGACCAGGTCCATTGTTCTTCCATTCCCAGCCAGTGTTCTCCTCGATGCGGATTCGTTCTAGTTTCCAAACTCGCAGATCGCCCGCTGATACTTCCTCTTCGAACATCAACTCGTGACGTTCGCCACGAGAGCCTCGAGTTTTACGCTCTCGCGTAAAGTCTTCGCTGAGCTTCGCCCACGCGCTCTCTTCGGCATCCACCTCGACTACAATGGCCGTAACAATGATGCCATAAATCGCGGCGCGTTCGTCGTACTCGCGTGCCTAGAAATCGGGGCACGCTTAAATTCCTCGCCTCGCCAGTCAATATGTTCGCGGGTAAGTAATGGTGCTTTGTCCGCCGTTCGCGGTTCCGTTTATCCCGGGGATCTGGAGATACGGTAACGACCGTCTGCGGATCGATAACGTCTCCTCCGATCCGGCACGCGACTTTCAATTTTCTCTTTTCCCGCGAACGACGACAGGCAGATCTGTTGTTCGTTTGACCAGTACCAAAAATGGCCGGCCGACCGGCCTCTGCACGCTTCCTTGTTTCTTAAGAAGCACACCCACGCGTTATTAGCATATTAATGCAACGATGGAAAACGGTGAACTCGAGTTTCTGGAGGATCTAAATGGCGAGGCAACCGTCTCGTCAGTTACCTTTTCCAGTCTCCTTCGATTCTTTTGATTTTGATGAGCCGTTACGTTTGTTATCCAAGAATTACAACTTCCTTCTCGCGGCCAATAAACGCGACTTGTCTACGATGAGAAAAAGCCACGGACTCTCTGAAATATGGCTGTAAAATATGATTCTTCCCGCTGCTAATGGCGCGAACGTTACGTTTGTCAGGAAACGAGACTCGGACCGTTCGCGGTAACGAGGGATAAAGAAAGCGGGAGATGGTGCATTATCGTCAACGTTCGTATTTCGCAATCGAGCCTCGGCCACTCGAACTACCATTACGCTTCTGTCGACAACTTCCACCGCGCCACCTTATCCGACAATTTGCGCTTAATACAAGCCGAGATTATGCGTTTTTCCCCGGGCTTTCCAATCTTATCCTTCTGCAGTTAATGCTCCAACATTGCTTTCTTCTCTACACGGTTGTACTATTTATAATACTTACGCAATTTATCGATTACTCTTCTTTATATGTCGATTATCAAGAAAGTGATAATTAAAAAATAAAGAGAGGGTTAAGTGTTTGGAAGAAATTCATTTTGACTCGGATAGGTTACAGTAGTTGGAATGATTAAACGAGAGGAATAGATTTTAGTGTCATGTTTAGCGTCAGGAGAAAATCATAGGCCGGCGAGCATTCGTGCCGTTTAAAGCTATTCACAGGAGGATCTCAGACAACAGAATTTTTGTTGCGTACGGAAGGAAAGGTCAGGAGACATTAAGCAGGGTTCGTGTATTCGTAATTGGACGGGCACGCGTTCGCTCACGGCAACAAGGAATAATACTTCTCCACGTGGAATAAACTTCAAACATCTGTCATGCTTCCTTTGATTCCTCAATTACCATTAATTTTCTTGCTGCTTGTGAAGTCTTACGGACATCATGCAAACACGACAACGCTTATTGTACCTTTCCGCAGTCTGTATTTTCATTGAATACACGCCTATCGTGCAACTGTTCTCGCGAAGAAAAATTTCGATTGAAACAATTTCTTCCATAATTTTCATTATGAAATTGAACCTTACATAGTTTTATGTACACTACCGTTCAAAAGTTTCAATAAACTGAACGTTAGGTTGCGAGATTTTATTTTATAGCAAGAGTAGAAAATTTAATTAAGAACCAAGAAAAGATTTTTACCTCTATCGTTCGAGTGTTGCATATTTTAGCATGAAGTTTGCAACAGTCAAGAAACAGTTGAAGCTGTTTGTTTTTCTACAAATGGCAGGTATGCGATGCTCACTGACTAGGCAGAAGTTACTCGAGGATCCCCAGGGCTAATAATCCATCATCTCCTTATTCTGAAGTCCGAAGTGGCTACTTAACGACTTTACGGCTCCCTGCTAGCCAGGAACGCCCACGTGCCGCAGGTACCCCCTCATTCGTCGGCTGCGAATTGATCAACCCGTTCTTTTAATAGAGCAAACGCTACCCCACTCGACGTACGTGGAAACGTAGAAAGATGGGAACTATCAGCTAGGAATGCCGTTGCAGAGACACCGGCTAATGCAGCCCGTATTTCATTGCCAACATTTTGCGGTGTCAACGTCGCTGCGAATATTTCGCAAAATTAGGGACAGATAACGAGATACACTGTTTCAGAAATGATTTCTTTTATTATTCAAATAAGTTGATTATTTCGTTAGATTTTTTTAATTATTTTCAAACGAGTAATCAGATACTTATTGGAATCACTTGCGCGAGGTAAAAATCGAGCACCCAATCGTCTCTCGTCAGTTGATTCTCGAGGCTCGTCGAGTGATTCAGAAGATTTCCGTCGGCTATAAATTACGAAAACGGGGAAGAATGTTTAGCGGACATTATATTTTCTCGGGACGGTTCATTTAACATCGTCGGATTCCTCGCGGCGCGGCGGGAAGAATGCCGGTGTTTCCGAGTCGAAAACTGTTAAACCGTGGCTTTGGTGCACACGGGACAGAGAATCCGGCGAGGAAGAGAAGAAAAAGACAGTGACGTAGTACCTACCTTCGTAGGAATCTCGTGTCATCTACCAGGTAGTTCTCTCCTACTACCTCTGAATCATCGTCCTTTGTCTTCTCGTTGGATCCTTCGTATCTGTCGGTTTCGACCGCGTACCACAGGTCCTGCGACCTTCGTGCAAATCCTTCGCGAAATACTCGCTGCTCGTTATCAATTATCGGAAACTTTGATAACGGAACCTTGCTTCGAACCTCAAGAATTTAAGATATCAAGGATGGTACTTGGAATTCTTGGAAACTTAATATTAAACGTTAACTATTTCTTTGAATAATTTTTTATTTTAATGCAATTTCAAATCGCTGATAAACAAACTATCTTATCAATCGCTAACAATTTTCTTTTACGTTCACAGAACGGTGTGCTTCCTGATGTTCGCCGTAATTGTTCGCCGGTGGATGGGGTCGTCACGGCCATAAACCCGATCAGCTGGAAGGAGATTCGAAGCCGGTGAGTCGAGTAGTAGCACCTGCATATTGCGCTTATTCATTCAAGATGGGCCTTTACCTGAACGCGCGCGCGCTGGTCCCATTGAGTCCCAAGCTCGAAAGGTCATTCGGAAGTTGTATAATTCCCATGAAACGCTTCGTTCGAGCAATTTATCTCGATAAACGTGTCACGATTAATCCAAATAATTTTATAAAGAAAATTTTTCTCTTACATCGAGGCAAGGGACAATTTCGTGTCGAGATGACGTTTCCTCGATACAAAACGGTCTAACGTTTGATGTACGAGGACTCGATTATCCGTGACAACGTCGACAACAAATCTATTACGCCGAGGTTTACGAGATATACAAGTCGACAGGGGAATACGTCGAAATATCGGTGTACAGGATTTACGAGATCGTCGTAGCACGATGCACGTGGCGTAGGTCAAACAGCAAAGGAGCCGAGGGAAAAATTCAGGTTGGAGCTGCATAGGCGAACGGTCGGTCGGTCGGCTACGTGGCTGGTAGACACGCGCGGACAATTACAGCCGACTGGACACGATTTTACAATAACTCAATTCATTTCCGAGCATACGTAAGAACGGGTTGACAAAAAAGCGAGGCTGGATATAGTTATTGCGGCTGTGTGCGGTGCACACGTGAACAGGTCAGTCCGGTCGAGCGGGAGCGAGACGAAAGGCAGGGTGACAGAGGGAGGGAAAGGTGGATCGAGACAAGAGGGAAGAAGGAAAGGTAAAAACGGGCAAGAGCGAGAAATCGAATCAGGTGGGAATGGAAAGGAATGACTGAGAGAGAAAGAATGTGCTCGCGAGACTCTTAAGCCCAGTTCAGATTAGTCAAGTTACTCGAATCGGAGTCATTTGAAACTAGTCACTCGATCGATGCGAGCCTGTTTATTTACGCGACTTGAAATATCTTCTCCAATTTCAAATTAATTCAAGCTTCTTTTAATTAGTACTCGAGACATGTATTTTTCAAGTAATTTGATTAGTCTGAACGAGACTTTACATTCAAGGGAAGAGAAGCAAAATAAAAACACAATCAAAAGTAGATAAAGAGAGAGAGAGAGAGAGGAAGGAGAATGTAAGAGAGGTAAGGAGTCGCTACAATAATCGAACGGTCCCGCGGTGCAATACAATGTTTGCAAAAGAGTCGATATCTAATCGACGGAATGCTTGTCGAAAAGTAAACCCGAGAACAGGGTGGAGCACCAGTCGGTCAGGCATGCACCGTCTTGGAGTTTTCGTTCGTTTCTCGCAAACACCGATCACCGTTGCTCGTATAGGAACGGATACGTCGTTGTCTTCTGTATCGGACGGCAAATTATCGTAAAAGAACAACGTCGTTTTTGAACAGTGTACGGTGGAACTCGTATAGGCATTTCTCGATACTTAAGATTGGTTTGTATTGACTGTTCAGACAAGGAACAGTTACGATCAGACAAAGACACCGAGTGTTAATACTATCACCTTTTGTCTGGAACATCAGACACGATTATAACAATTTCTCTCTGGGAATGATCTCTATTTTTCTACCCAATTGATCGAATTGCACATTTGTAGAGATCGACGTACAAACATTGCTATCTTTTTATCTGCAACAATCTTTGTCTGAACGTAACCGCTGCGTGTCCGAACGGATAATATAAATCCACGTTTACTCGCGCACCTATGCGCTCACACAGGCGCACCGGCATCGGCGCGGGTTCGCCTCGTGTACACACCATCGCCGGTATTGTATAATGCAGCCATTGATAGCCGTCCTCTCTTTCACGCACGCGATCTGTTGCAGTCGTTGCAACCCGTGTCCGGTGACAGCGTCCAGTGTCCAGTCTCCCTCCCGGTGAGTGTCCACAAGATTTATTTTCCCATGCGATATACGGGGTGGCACCGTGAAAACTGGACCCGATCCCTAACGCCGTCACGATTCCACGCTACCGTACAGGTGATCGCGAAAAATACGCGCGCCGAGTAGAGACAGCCGGCTTGACTGTTCCGCGAACGTTGTCACACGGTGAACAGAAGACTCGCGCGAGTCCGATATCCGTGTCGACGCGACGCGCCCCGCGCCTGTTCCTTTACGCGAGTGTGGATGCGTGTCTACGTCTTCAGAAACGCACGGAAGAGAGCAAACGGACGCTCTCGAACCATTTTTCATCCGACGATACCGACGCACATCATTCGCATGGATCTGATTGGGTACGTAAGGATACTTGATCATCATTTTCTAATGTTAAGAGTACGAGAAGTTGTCGATTGCAACAGCGAGGGAAGCTTTCATCCCTAATTTCAGGGAGAAAAAGACAAAGGTTCCTGGTACCGGTATACCGCGCCGGTTTCCGCCGTTAATCGTCACCGCGTCGCGTTTCGTTGTTATTTTCTCGATCTCGATCCGCGCAGGATCACTTTCCAACGCTGACTCTGCTGGAGGCTGTGGTACTTAACGAGCAGATCGCTTTCAGCTTGGACGCGGCCGCGATCGATTTACAAGCGGCGCGCTTCGGAATCGTAAGAACTCGCTAATTCTTGATTCGCGCGGTTAATTTTCTTTTCCAAACAATTCAAATTTCAAAGGTATCTGTCCGTTTGAAAAATTCCCCCGAGAGGTTTGAGCATTTCTCGCGAGTTCGTGCGAGCTTCAAATGAGATGAATCGAACCGATCGATGATCTTCGCGAGGAACACCCGTTGCGTCGTGTGTTTCGCGCACCGCGAATGGAAAACCGCGAATCGACGAAATTGCGTAAAGGGAATCGAGTTACGCTGGCTCGCGAATCCCACAAGATTCGCCGACACGCCAGCGGGAGAATTATTTCAGGTTCGCCACGATTTACGCGTTCTCGATACAACGGTGATTCGATTGTGTGACGGGCAGCGCAATTGTGGATTGTGCGAACCATTCTCTCTGTAGATTTTCATCCATTCAACGTTCAGGTACATTCTTCTTTAGTTGAATGCAACATGGAGCTAGCAATTTTCCACTGTGTTCCTTTTTCTTTATCTTTCCATCTACCATTTGTATAGAAACATTTAACGGGACAAGCTCTTGAAATTTCATTCCATCTTTTCACCATAGCCATGATTCTATTAGACACATATTGCGGGATTATCCGTGTGTCAAATATTAAAAATTCCACTGATATCGGAGCCTTATCGATCAAGTATAAATGTATCGGTACTCAAATCCTTGAATCTCTCAAACTTTCCAATATTGACCTATTACGTGTCGGTTATTTTATTTTGTCAATAATGTCAATAATATACAGACTTGTTTTCAATTGCAACATAATTATTAAAACAGTCTGTGTATTATCGAAACTTTTTCAAAATTTCTCCAAGACTTCACAGAAGAAAAAATTGAACGTCGTCGAGGAACCAGATGTCGATCTTTGCGAATGTGCTAAATATATTCGCCGTGCATCATCGTAGATTCGAAAACGAAGGGTCTGGATACACATACGTTACGTCAGTGTCTCTATAGAGGAAGCATTGAAATCGAAAGCCCCTCTTTCCGTGCTGCAAATCTCGAAGGAGCTATCTCTGTCAACGCGAGACAGCACGGCCCTGAGAAACTACGAAATCCACGAGCGAATCGATTCGCACACACGTAATCGTTAATTCTAGTTGCCAGAAAATCTCGGTAACAATTCAACGAAGCTTCGCTCTATTAGCGTCTTCCGTTCTGTTTGCTTTTAGTCGAATAAGAAAAAAAGGCGCTGTTTACCCTTTCAATTCGCGCGTTTCTCGTGCCCCACCTACCGGAAGTTTCCTCGAGAACGATGACGTAACAACACGGAGGAGAATCATCGGGTTTCTTTATCGTTTCTTATTGAATCGTTCGCGGATTCGTTGTATTCGTAAAAGATATTTGCACAACGCTACCAATGGAAACAGCAAGCAAATAAACGCTGACCATCGTTCCGGCTACGATCCTCGCCATGTCAATAGAACGCGTATCATCTTCGTCGCGAGTCGAGCTGATAAAACCTTCCGCGAGCGTGTATAGCGTACGATTTTCGACGGTGGGAAAGGTTGTACCCTTAATCTTATCGTACGTTTGCGCAAACAATCGAACGATGTTCCGCGGCAAGTTACCGGTACCCGTTTCTCGAACGCACAGTTCCTTTTTATTATTTTTACAAAGGTTTTGCCAAATTGAAAAAGAAAATATCGCAACTCCGTTCCGTTATTTTCTCTATTGTGCGATATTTTGAAACGGCGCGATTTTTCATAAGAAATCGGAACGTCTAGAATAAAAGACACCGAGCGTGTTAAATTCGGAACGATTCAACGTCACGGAGGGTAGAAATGGCCCCGACGTCACCGCATAAACTCTCCGACAAAAGACGTTATTTTTCACCACTGTTCTCCGCTCGTAATCCTCGAATTACAGCGCAGAACCCACGAAAATTCGACTGTTTTCTCGCGAATGCGCTTCGTAAAAACGCTTTGAAGGATGCCGGGTACGTGACATCGGTGAAACGAATGTAAAGTTTGCAAACGAAGGTACTAAAATGAAAACGGATGACGAACGGGTTCGATCGGCCCCGTTATTGTCGCGGACCACGCCGGAGAGAGCATCGAGACGCTCGGTTTTCGAGAATAAACCTGGTGATCATAAACTGCTCGTAAATTCGACAAAATAACTTCACCATTCCATTGGGACGGTAATCAAAGTCCTGCGAAAATCTCGGTGTACACAAAGTTTATTAAAATTCACAGTGCATTCGCTTAGTAGATACATATTTGCTGTTTCTGTTGATTTCAAGTATTTAACGAAATAATTTGTTCGTTATTCGCACCTAATCGTTCAACATTCATCGTTCAACGCTTCACCGATATATTCGCGTTCTCACACCTATCCTTACACGTATGTTACGTCGTACGATTCGTTACACGTTACTCGCACACACTGGCAGGGGATACGCTCGCGGAATGCAGCCTCGAAGAAGCGGGATCGCGAGCGACGAACCCGCGACTCGGTGGAGAAAATCAGCTGGAACGAGGGAGGAAGAAGACACGCGAGCTTTTGTCGGTACGTCGTTACGACATCCGGTCACCGTACGATCGTGTCCGTCTGACGCGAGCGGTATTTCAAAAATATCGAATAAAATACGAGACTGGCGCGAAAACAGAGCCTCGTTCCTCCGGTATCATGCCGGCCGATGGGCCGCGTATTTCATCTTTCGGTCGAAATATCGTTTTCGACCGGTTATTTTTAGACGATTCTATTTTTCTTGACACTTTTGACGGAGAGGGAGCTTTCTGTTAGCTCTCCTGACACTCCCGTTTCGAGCGAAACGAAGCTCGATCATCCGACGATACTTCTTTTGTTCATTGTTTAACGATTAACGCGATGAATCAGAGTTTCATAGTATACGTCTCGTAAGATGTATTACTATCAACGCGTTACTAAGAAACAAAAAAAAAAATTTAACGAGGTTTAAAGATCGAAATACACGGAAGTTTCTATGACGTTTCAAATAAAATTGTAAAATAGCTGTTTCTACTGTGATATAATACGAGTGTTCTTTCAAAGAGAGAGCTTCAGTAGTGTATGTAATTCAAGAAGCAACTAGAATTAATTAGGTATTTTGAAATGATTAATGACACGACTATAATTACACGAGAAGAATAATCAATGTGTTTCTAAGAACAGTAGTTGGACGCTGAAAGCGATTTAGATTGGAAGAAGAAAAATTCTAGATGTTTTGTTGGAATTTCAATTGAAGCGTAACAAATGAAAAATGAACAAACCAAGTGCACAGAGTGATTCTCTTTCATTCTACGATATCTGTTCCAAACTGCATCAATCGCATGGATTGCCGCAGTAGAAGCGACCGCGTGTGGTACGGCACGCTACGTTCACTGTCGCAGTGAAATTAGACGCGCATGGTAAGACATATTGGAACTTTACTTATTAACACTAGATTGCCTGAGCAAGTCAATTTCGCTCATTTACGATTTTATTGCTATATACATAAAAAAACTTAAATAATTTTTTTAAAACATATGTTGGATTTTAATAAAATTATGAAATGTATACAGATACTAATTCCTTTCCCTCCCACTCCTTCAAAAATCCATATGTACTATACCTATTTTGATGAATCTGTCCGGCAATCTAGTGTCAACCGTTTGAGTGCCAAGCGACTCGATCGCGTTTCTCTTGTTCCATATCAAAAAATGCGACGTAATTAGCTCAGAGTGTCCAACTAACGATGCGTTTAACGCAAATGGCAATTAATATTACACGATTGAACACCAGTGTTTTTGCAGGTTGGCTATCTTAGCCTGCAAATAATTAGATAATTAACAAAAATGTAAAATATCGCGCTGCATAATGCATTGTGACGTAAAAAACAGAAGAAGCGTAATCGCGTCACTTGACATTTTTCGACCAAATTTTTGCAGATTCGTGGCATTCAAACTGTTAAAGACATGCACAAATAATTTTCACGTTTAGACTTTCAATTTTCGACCTTGTATTTTCAAGATAATAGTAATGTTATTCATAGGATAATGTAAACACAAGGAAGAATTTGCATGAAACTTAATAGATGCGTTCATAAGCATTCTGGTAGGTTCGAGAGGCGAAAGAAGTGTCGATACAATGTGTTAATTATCGTGTTAAATCTTGGAAACGGATCCTTGAGCGTTGGAATTTCGTCGACACAATAGTTACGTGTTCAAACCGTACGTGGCAGGAGGTAGCGGTGAAAACAAGGACCGACACGATAATTTATTCACGGGCCCCGAAAACGTTCTGTGTCTTTGTTAAATAACACGGATTACCTAGAGAAGATCGGTTTCGAGGATTAAGGCAAACGACGAAAGCGAGAGAGAAAGAGGATCCAACGGACGCTAAAACCTTGCCTATTTAATTCAAGGATCTCGATTTATGTGGAACTCGCCGGTCGTTGAATGCTGCTCCCTCTGCTAGTCTCCTCGGGTTTTCTGTTCGTGCCTGTGTTAGTCGAGAGCCGATCGTGAATCTGTCGTTGACACCGACAGCCAAGCTGCTTGACAAAAAAAGTAGGCAGGCATAATCGTAAAGTGCGAATGTTATTCTTTGGACGATGAGCGAACCCGGGGAGAGAAAGAACGAGGGGACACACTCTATACGTACACAGGCACGCATGTATAATACGCTTTCATTTTTTTTTCCTTTTCTTTTCTTTTTGACTTTATCATCTTCTT